CTCCAATATGGAACGACACTCCTGCGTTCCTATTTAAGCTTCGTTTTTAAAGAACGAATCAAGTTATTTATTCTTAATCTCGGTTAATAATGATGCAATTTTTCAAAACTTGAATAAAAAAAAATAAAATGCTTGTGTGGTAGATCTGGTTTAATTTAATAAAGGAAGATTTAAACACAAGTGCAGAACTTGAAGATTTAGCTGTGGTGGAGTTGAAGTCATGATTTTCATCATTAAGCAGATTTAATTTGCAGTTATATGCTGCATTAAATCCACATCAGCAGCATTATTAAAGAAAAACTCAATGGGGCTGTTCTAGTCGCACCATAAGTCATTTTTACAAAAACTTCAGCCTGGCTGCTGGCTGCTGGGCTCCTTCTGCCGTCAGCAGCGCTTATGAAGAGCAGGGAAGAAGGTGCATTGTTTCTGTGCATCAGCTGGGTTCTAACTACAGCTTCTGCGATGCTGAACATGATGAACCTGCCTAACCTGGTACCCTGAAACCCAGAGGTCCAGTTAGTCTTCCTGTATGTCCTAATACATTTCTAAACTGTAGTCTGATTATTCTTTTAAACATTTAAACATCAATAGTTTTTGTCGATTCATGCATGTTTGAAAAGCTGAGGGTTTAGCAAAGAGTTATTTTTACTCCCCTGAACTAATTCATTTGACCCCTCTTTGACAACAAGGGTTGAACCTGCCAGCTAACAGACCAGTTTTGGGTCATCTGAGTAATTGCGATTAAAATTTTTAATCTGCAAACAGCCTTATTTTTAAAACGTAATCTCTAAGGGCTCCACTGTAGAGAACACGCTAAATGCAGCTTTGTTGTTAGTGAGTTCTATCAATAGAGGGTGGAATGATTTGAATAGCAGTAAACTTTTATATTACGCGGGACTTCTTCCATATAAATGGACTGACTTTTAGAAAATTCTAGCCTCCTGCCAGACGTCCGTCTCACCTGGAGTCATCGGCGTTCTGCTGTCGACCTTGCTCACATAGGATGAACATGAAGACAAAGTGCTCCCTAAGCTCTCTGCTCAGATTTAAATTGGTCAAGCTGTCACATTCTTATTCTGCGGTCTGGATCGTTAGGAGTGTGATTTATGAACCTCTCGTACCAGTTTAAAGATCTCACTTTCAGTACTTTTTTTGAAGAACCTCATATATATATATATATATATATATATATATATATATATATATATATATATATATATAGAACAGATCGAAATAAAATTCAAATATTGGGTTTTCATGAGCTTTCATGATATAAATTATCCGCATTAAGACAATAAAAGACCTGAAATATTTCAGTTGTTGTGCAATGAATGTAAAATATATGAATTTTCAAGTTTTATCATTATGGAAAATAATAAACTTTATCACAATATGCTAATATTTTGAGAAGGACCTGTATATTAGTGGATGTCATTAAATACATCTCCATAGAAAAATTGCTATAATTAAGCTGGAAAGATATGTAGCATTCATGTTGTTGGATGTTACCTGAATGCTTTTTACCCCAAAGAACCAAAAGTATTTTTACGGTAACCTTTGCTGTCCTGGTTCTGCTATAGACTCACTCGTTAACCCAGCGCCGCGCCGTTCCCGGCCGAAGCAGGCTTTTCGACGAGCTCCTAGCCGAGCACAAGGGCCTGGCTAAGGAGAGGGAGGCTCTGAAGGAGAAGGAGAGGGAAGCGGCGCTTAGAGGGAAGGAAGGATGCAGTCAGAGCAATGCAGCTCCAGAAACGGCGAGTCCCAGCAAAACCTACTGCCCCGCTGAAAGACCGCTCTCCTCGTTGAAGCTGCGGCTCGCCAATGCACACATACCAAGGTAAAGCTGCTTATCATTTATTTATTACTGCATTTAATGACGCCAAAGCTCAATTTAAACCTCCAAAAATGTTTGATCATAAGATCAATAGCAAATACATGTATAGATAGGCGGCGTCCTATACAGTAATAGGGGATATGTCCCTCAGACAGTCACTGATTCCCTTCCAGACAGAGGTTATGCCACAAAAAGTAACTGGAAGGTTTATTGTCTGTGCTGCTTGTTATGATGAACAGAAGCCGCCCATGTGGAAAGGAAACCAACTAGAATGGTACTAAAGTATGTTATTGAGAAGATGATGTTGCGCTACCACGTTTTACCACCAGGGGTTGCTGTAAAGTTCAAACAAGTAAAAAGAAAGAGAGAGAAAAGTATAAATCGGTCAATGTCGGGGTACTAACTCTTCCCCCTCTCCTGTCATCCGATGCTTCGTCTCCAGAGTTCCGGTTGGCTCCTCTTCCATCTCCAGTTTGAGTCCTCTGCCTCCAGCAGCGCCTCCTGCCGTAGTTCCTGTCGCCGAGCCGTCTTCTAACAGCTGGGTGAACGCAGCAGCGGACAGCAGCCGACTCTCCAGCGACGAGGGAGACCCAGAGAGTCCAGATGACACTGACAGACCCTCGTTGCATTACTCCAGTCATCATCCGCGGCCTTTAGGGGTAAATATTTAGACAATAAATTCCGATATTAGGTTGAAACCTCCCTTTAGATCCAAAGTTTGTATAATGTCTTTCTGAATTCTGCTTTTTAGGCATTAATTCTTCCATTTTTTTTAGCTTTTTTTTCTATTTCCATGCATTTTTCTCTACTTACTTGCCTTAGGGTGTCAGGCTCCTCCTTTAACCAGTTTCTCCTGTGTCTCCGTGCAGTTGTGCGTCTTCAGCAGCCGGCTTATGGGACAGGGCTACTATGTGTTCGACAGGCGATGGGACAGAATGAGGCTGGCCCTGCAGACTATGGTGGAGAAACACCTCAACGCCCAGATGTGGAGGCGAGTGTTCAACATCACTTAATGCCTCATTTTGTGTTGCGTCACAATTTAATATGTTGATTCAGTGATTAAGTTTTTAAGAAGTGTCAAAAACATCTCAAGGCTTCCTGATATGGCTGTATTATCACTCTGGAACAAATATTTCTGGGTGCCCATTTTTTAAAGGATTTGTATATTTCAGGAAGGTGCCTCTTGCTGCTGAGAGCCTTCCCTCCCTCTCCACATCTAGTACCTCCTTGGTTACGGCGCAGCAGGCTCCTTCTTCCACCCCTATCGCCTCTCCTGTCCCTTCCTCACCCTCTAACACGCTCACCTACACCGCCACGTTCCCTCAGTCGGCATCGGCAGCTGGAGTGTTCAACGTCAGAGACTCCGCGCAGTCCCACAGCCCGGCTTTTACGCAGGGAAAAGCCCGCAACGGCTCCCACAAAGCCAGCCGGCCATCCAAAGACGCAAGCGTCCCTGCGGCGGGCCAGAAAAAGAGAAAGAACTCTTCCCACTCTTCGTCGTCCTTTTCATCTTCCTCGTTTCAGACAGTAGATGTCCACAAAAGGAACGGCAGCAGCTTTCACCCGACGTTACAAGGCTATGGGATAGCCAGGAGTTCCCCAGCCAAGAATAAGGGACCTCAAGGGGGGAATGGGCGTCTGAGCAGCTCCGATAACTGGCTGTCCAGAGCAGATGGGTCACAAGGCATCAACACACAGAACTGGTAGGTCTCTGTATGTTTAGAGATAATTAGAAAGTTAAGATTTCAGCTTAGCTTTATTTAAGCTCCCTATATAGATTAGTGAATGATTTGCACACACCTAAAAGTCCTTTTCTTACATCTTTTCTTTAAGCCATAGATTGCAGAGTAGATCAAAAGAATCACATCAAATAAATATAAGAATTTATGGGGCTATATAGCCCTTATAAGAAATTATTCATGTTTTCCCTGAGAGATGATTACTGTTTGGTTTTGGTGTTTGTCTTTTCTTGTCAAAAAATACTCACTTAAGAGAATTTTATAAAGTTATTTACAGAAATTGAGAGCAGATATGCAGTATAAAATGACAAAACCCAAAACATTCACTAATTTTATCATTTTGTTGTGTAGAAAAGCAGTTAATTGTTCAAATTTCCAGTAAGTTAAGAGTGAATATTAAATCTGTGTATAGATAAAGATAGAAAACTTTTTGTTTTTTAGGATCGCGGTGACAAGGTATTTTTCCAAGAAAAAAAAAAAAAAACTTACAAAAAGAAGAAAACAGTTTTAGTATTTAGACTTTAAGCTGAAAGGAATGAAGAAACGTGAACATTTTTCCTCACTAAATTTTGTGAATTTCTTTTTTTAAACATAGATGAGAGAAATATTTTTAAGTTTAGATCTTGGCTTTATTATGTATGTTTTTAAATCTTGTTTAAGGTGCAAAATGTTTTGAATACTTTTTGTTTCCTTTTTTTTCAGTTTAACATTATAATAAATCATTCTATATCTTTTTTTTGTTCCTTTGTTTTGCTCCTTTTAGTCGTGAACTTGGCACCAGCAGCATCACCTTTACAAACAGGGAACCAGCCTCAGCCCCACACCAGCCTATGGCTCCCCCCACTGGACCCTTAGCTTATGGCGGAGGAGCAGAAGGGAGGAAGAGGAGGAGTCCCAGCTCCTATAAAGGGAAAGCCAGCAAACTGAGCCGACCAGGCGGACTAGAAAGCCTCTTTGGTAAAGGAAACGACGGTGGGGGGATCTTGGCGTTGGGGCCTGAGTCGCCCAGACAGGTGGGTGCTTGTTAGGCTGTATGACCTGATGCTGCAGTTATTGGTTTAGTTTATTATTGAAGCTCAGGTGAATGACGAGTTTGTGTCTGTTTCTGCAGGCCAAGTTAAATCACTGACAGAAACCCGTTTGAAGGGCAGAACCTTTGGGCAGCTGTTCAGGCCACCACCATTTGTGACCTTTGACTTCACTCTTCCACTGACCGCACCAATCAGGCCGTTTCATCTCACATGGCTCCTGTTTATCCAAGGATACAGGATCCATCCCTCCACTCCTTCCCCCTCAGCTTGGATCCTTTCGTCCGGAAACTTGATGTGCCTCGCTATAGTTGGGGTTTATAGGAACACGTTTTCTTAAAAAACATTGCAAAGGGAATATGCTGACATTAACACCACCACTGTAGAATTTATGGAGAACCCTGAAAAGAGGTGTGTGATTGTTTTCCATCAGACAGAACTACTGTGCCGCTTTGCTGCCCCTACGGACCTTTTCTATTCAGCCTCTCCATCATTTGCTCCGTTTTAGTCTACGAGGAGAGTGATCGCAGCACATTTACCTGGGTTTTAGCCAGTTCTTGCCCCTTTCTTTGTCCACCTCCCTACATTTCCATTTCTGTCCCAGCATGCCTGTGTTCGAAGTGCACTTACTGTCCTGAGCTCCTTGCTGACTCCTTCTGCAACTGTGACATGAAAAAGTCGTGCTCGCACAAAGAGGAGGGGATGGAAGAATCCGTGTTACCAATGATGCCACGTCGATGCGTTGTATTTCAATATAGGATAAAATCTGACTTTATTCAGATCTTTTTTTTTTTTTTATCTTTCTGGTTTTAATGTTGAAAGAAACAAAAATTCCAGGATAAGCATCCAAAATGGAATTATTACTCTGGTGTTGGATTGCTTCGTTTTATTTTTGTTTTTTTTGTATAATAATTTATCATTCTTAAATAATGTTTGTTATGGAAGTGACCATTAAGGTTTGAGCTACAGAGACTTTTTCAATATAAAAGATGATAGAATTTCTATGGCATTTTGAAGAAATGTTAAAAGTATTATAGTTCATATTTGTACATATCTGTTGGTATTTTTGTATTTATTAATATTTTTTTCCCCTTTTACTAAATGAAAACAGAGATATTAACTATTTTACCCCATGCTATCGTAGTCTAACAGTAATAAAGCGATTGGCCTGGTGTCTCACCAAAAAAAAAAAGTTATATATATATATTATTTTGTATTTTTTATTCTTCTCCCAGTAGCAATTAAATGCAAATTAATGGGCACAGCCAAGTTCAAATGTTTGGTAGCTTCTGCTTTTTGTATTTTATTTTAATGTAGTTGCTTTTCAAGCTGGAAACAATAAGAGTTTAATTTAAAGAGAAGTTGCATTAAAATTCAAATGGTAAGTAGACTGAATTTATAAAGCACTTGGCCAGGAGCGCGTCCTAATGTGAGGAAGCTGGAATCAAACCACTTATCCACCACCTAGATTATGTTGCCGTTCGCTTTTCTTTATGCAATCCAATCTCAACCTTTATACTTATTGGCTCCCTGGGTGAAGGTGTGTAAAAAGTCTTAAAATATTAATAAGCTGATTTTGCAGAAGCCTACTCAAGATGAAGTTAAACGAACCAGACATGTGGTTTAAATATCTTTATTCAATAGGAATTGAAAATTCCTGTAGTAATTCTGTTAATCTATATGTGGGTTTGCTTTTCTTTTAAGTTCAAACCTACCTAGATAAACTTTTTTTCAGTAATTCGGGACCTTCTGGGTTTTTTTTCTTTGCATTTAAGTAAAGCAAATTGTTTTTTTTTTTTTTTTTTTTTTTTGAGTTGTTTGTTAAAATGCCTGCTTATACAAACCTCCTTGTATCTTCCGTCAGAAACCATTAGAACTGGCATAAACTAGGCTGGATTAAAATACTCCAAAGCTCTAATCTGGCATCCTGCGGTTACCAGGTTTCCACGACAACCAGTGTTTGATATCTAAATGACAGCATTCTGTCCCACTATTATTTTGCCATCATTCAGCGTGGATCTGCTATAACATGAAAGACAAATATAAAAAAAAAAGCAGTTAAAGCCCACTATTCAGTACAGTGGAGGGTTCATCATGCTGTGGGCATGTTCCCCTTCTAAATGCACAAGATTATACAGCTGCTCCAACCCTTTTATATATTATAAATGAAAACAAAGGAATGTCCTGTTGGCAAAACTTTTAGATCGCCAATAACTTCTCTCCGAAGTATTTTATCCTCTGCTGTATAAATTAATGCAAAGTGATGATTTTTCTAAAAGTGTCACTATATGTTTGTCTAAATAATATGAATGTATTCTATGGCTTTTTCCATATGAATACCAGGATTGCTAACAAGTTTGATGCTAAAACTGTTAAATTCAAGGTATCATTCTCATGCAGTGTCTAAACTTCAAACTACAGAATAAATATATGCAGAAAAAAATACCTGCAGTATGGAAGCTAAGCGCTATCGCATGTTTTTATTCACCCTTGCTGATTTTTACAGGCTTCAAAGACTACTTTGATAAGAAAATATGCCACATTCAGACCCCTTGCAAGCATAATGCAATGTTTTGTCAATTAAACATTGCTAATGGGGACTTATTATCTAAATTTGGCATTTTTTAAAATGTTTTTCTTAAAATATATATATATATTTTTTGTATAAACAGCGCAAAATGTTCTGCTTGCTTTTCCATCCATACTTTTCCTCCTCCAAAAGTTAAAGACTACTGCTTTATTTTTATCTTTCGTTATCTTCAGAGGCCCGATGGTCTAGTCTCAGTGTGATTATGTGGGTTGTGGTGATATGTCAAGTCAAAACTGGGTCAAAATGCTTTCACTTACTTCAGCTAGGTATGTTTTTTTTCCTTCTGATCACTCCACCGTGCTAGAACCGCAGCGCAGCCATTCCTCCGAGTTTTTACCTTTTTAAAATATGCATAAGATCTGCGTCTGGTGGCAAATTTTACAGCCGAAATATCGGACGGTTGGGGTTTAAATTAAATGTAGGAAGTGCAGTCGGAACTTCAGTACCATTGTTTTCTTGAAATGTAGAGAAAAACATCTGTAGTTTAAAATTAGATTAATAAAATCTAGTTTGATTACCTGGTTTAAAGTGGAGCAATATATTTTTTTATGGCCTCGGTTAGTGTGATCAGTACCCCGCCCACTCCTGTTGAGCCCCTGATAATAGGAAAGTAACTGAAAGCATTTTGTTTAACCTAAAAGCAGACAGGCAGTCCTCTAACCCTTAGTGTAGCAACTAACTTTTTGTTTAAGAACTAATAATGATATGAATCATATAAAATTAGATCTGAATTTTTCTCTTTTTCCAAGTTCTTCCGCTTTTGACACTTTTAAACTGCCTACCCTTTATTTCACAGCACTTTTTTGATTAAAAAAAGAAAGATTCATGGAATACATCCAATATTTCCTGCAGTAGTTATAAGCTGACACTGGGAAAAAAAGAAGGAATAAAAGCCCACAGCATTACAGATCCTCCACCATGCTTAACAGTACGAGTTGCTTTTTCACATCTTCCAATGTTTTTGGAATGGAGGCCCATTCCTTTGTAGGTACTCTGCAAAATGGGGACAAACTAAAGAACATGCCATTTTAGGAAAGCAAATGTCTTTCTATTTTTATATTTCAGAATGTTACTTGAAATATGGGTTACTTCCTAACTTTAAAATGCTCTCTCAATGCAAACTATATTGTTTGAGAGATTTGCCATCGCAAACGGAAATATTTAGTTTTTTCTAAGGATAGAAAAACTTCACTTTTCACCATCTAACAGTTCATGTTGGATTGCTCTGAAAGAAGGGAGGAATATATGGAAGAACACTTAATGCTTGCTATAAAGCACAGTAGAGGAGGTGTGATGCTGTGTGCCTGGTTTTGGTTCTGTTTGGGTTTTCATTTGAATATGAGGAAGTTTTCAATCAAATTCTGCTGGTTTTTAAAGATTGGGATTTAAAATCTGCAGTTTTCATCAGAAAATATTTTTTTATACACCTTCACTTGTGATGCCAATAATTTAAGAGGGTGCTAAAGCTTCTTGGATTATGTTATTGAGCCCATGCAGTGTTTGCGGAGGTAATCAATAGCTAAAGCTGAAGGTCTACCATGTTTACAAGAACGATGGTTAATTTGCAGCATGTTTTCACCTGCTTTTCCATTTTCTGGCTGTGAAAAGATGGAATTATCGGTTAAAAATGTGGGACACCTTCATGATTGTTAAAAATAAATATAGTTTTTTTCTTTTCGAAGGCAACCAGACTCGCTGTTAATACAGATGTAGAAAGTTACAGTTTTACTTGCAGCTTAAGTTAAAAGAAAGTTTATATATGAGTGTTTCATTTTTTTGGACTTTTTTATTTTATTTTTTGCACTTTCTTAAATTACATAGATCTGTAATCCTCTTTAATTATATGATCATTTAAAAAAAAATTAGTATCTGAAAATTACATCAGGTGTATTTGCGACCTGCGTCCCAAACCCCCTCAAAACCAAGACACTGTCGTATCCCGATCCAAAATGTGGCGAATGTTTAATTTCCGGAGAAAAAAATGCATTTTTTTCCACAGACAAACCAATGTTAATACATACTGTAAAATGTCTTATATCCAAGCTTTTATTAAAATATTGAAAGAGAGGTGGTCTTATTTGTAAATTAAATATGCAGCGTTTAAATTCTAGTGAGCTGCTGTTGAATGTCTGTTTTGTATACCTTACTTGTTGATGCAGTGATCTGTCGAATGTTTTCATTTTTCAAATATAATGAAAAGCAAAAGGAAAGTGTTTCAACTAAGAAGCTTTGGTTTTTTTTGCAGTTTGTATACCATAACTTTGACAGCATACATCTGTAATGACAGTTTTCAGCGAAAAATATAAAACTGAAACAATTTCCTGTTCAGGGGTATTTCTTCTATGTTGCTGTAGTTGTGATTGTTTTTTCTTTCTTCTTCTACACTGAAGTTTGCACACAATCTCATACAATTCAGTTTATTTATATAGCGCCATTTCACAACATATATAATCTCAAGGCACTTTACAGAGAAAAATTCAACCAGATCATCTCGTCTAATTGATAGAAAGTTTTCTGTCTAATGAAAAGCGGTTGATTGCATTGACTTATAGACTTAAAAGCAATCCCTCACACTAAGCATGCTTGTAGCGATAGTGGAGAGGAAGAACTCCCTTTTAACAGGAAGAAACCTCCAGCAGAATCAGGCTAGGTGTGAGCGGCCATCTGCCGAGGCCGACTGAGGTTCAAGGAGACAGAAGCAGACAGAAAAAGAAGCAGAGATACAAAGAAAACTGTAATCCAGCTCCACAGGTGGAAAAAAAAAAAGGCCTGACTCAAACATATATAAACAAAGGTGTTGATGTCAGCAGCACAGCTGATATTTCTCTTCAGGATGGTGTCACAGCCAGATGGAACAGATGAGATGAAGCTACTATGAGAAAAGCAGAGAGAGCATAACGTTAGAGATTAACCTAATAAATTCTGCAGAAGGAGAGAATAGAGATAGAATGATGAAAAGGGGCCCCTTTGTCCTCCAGCAGTCTAAGCATATAGCAGCATAACTATAGAGAAAGCTCAGGATAATCTGAGCGACTCTATCAGCTTTATCAGTAAGTAAGCCTACCCTTAAAAGTAGACTACTAAAACTGGTAGTTGGTTCCAACGGAGAGGAGCCTGATAACTAAAAGATCTGCTTCCCATTCTACTTTTAGAAATTCTAGGAACCACTAGTAGACATGCAGATTCTAGTTATTAAATAGAGTAAATATACAAATTGAATAATAACAAGAATATATATATATATATATTTTTTAGTTTAGAAAAAGCCATTGCAAGAAAATTTCTAATCTCATAAATCTTGAATAATATTTTCCATAATACACAACTTAATTTCAATGTACTACAAAAAAAAATAAAAAATCCCATTATAAAGGGAAGCTTTTTTTTAAGGTTGAAATCTGGAAAAATCTATAAATGATAAAAGAATAATCTTTATTGATTGCCGTTTAGTTGTAAAGAGAGCCCTATTTTTGCTTTAGCAATCGAGTCTCTATTCAGCATAGTTTTTTTTTTTTAAACCACATCCTCCTCCATTAACAGAAAAGTCTTCTGCTGAAGTTGGAAATAAGATCTCGGGGCTGTGACTCAGAAGCCTGCCATACTCTGCAACATTTACTTGCCGGGTCAAGGCCCATTTTAAAAGCAGAAAACACAAAAGCACAGTTGTTTTTAAACGACATTTCTTTCTCTATCTCTACTCTCTCGACGCTAATGCATTCAGGCAAATCTCTAATGGTCGTCAGCAAAGAAAACCACAAGCAAATTTGGTTGTGCATGAATCTAATTATTTTCATCCCAGTTTTAAATGCACACATGTTCTTTTACTTCAACTTAAAAAAAAATTATATCTCTTCATGTCCATATGGCCTCAATAAACCAACTTAAAATTGTTTGGTCATTTTGCTGCACGTTCAAATAATAGTTATGTATTGTCCTCCCTGTTCTCTTGTAATCGCCACTCAACCAAAACAGCCTTTCAAAAAGCAGCTGAGGAGGTTTGTTGGAAAAAAAAAAAAACTTTTCTTGCAAATTAGTTTTAATTATCAAATCGTTATTAAGCAGCTCAGAAAATGCCCTCCTCAAAACATGGAAATAACATAAGCTGGACAAAGATTTTCAATTTTATCACATCTTTACATTCTTGTATATATTCTTCTGAAATGTGCTGAAATCTTTTGTTATTTA